GCATTGTCCTGGGTGGTTGGCTTCATGTCAATATTCGATTGTTCTACATCAACATATAAGCGAGACCAGAACATAGAGTAATCATAAACAAATTTATTTAAAAAGGAAACTATTTACAATTATTTTCAATCTTAAAAAAAAAAAAAAAAAACAGAGAGGAACGGAAATATCTTTATTTACGGGGCTGCTAATCAAAATAAAATTATTTTTGAGCCCCAATGGCCGCGTAAAGCGGAATATGTGCAAAGCACTATGACCAGACTGGGAAGACTAGGGAAAAAAACTCCCTGGCGGGGATTCGAACACCGGTCGCCCGCGTGACAGACGGGAATACCAGCCACTATACTACCGAGGAAAAAACTGAGAGATATCTAAACAAAATATTTACAAATAGAATGCTGACGTCACGTGACTAAGGATGATAAGCTGAGTATGTCATCACAGATTATTCCGGCTTTTTTCGAGTTGCCAGCTAGCTCTCTACCAGGTCACATCTTTGCTTTCCTGCTCTTGCTATGAATCCTGCTAAGAAGTAGAAGAATGCCCAGAAGTCGATCGTGGACATCGCCGCCCTGGATAAGGAAGACGAAATGGTTATCTCCCGCAACCTCCATATCCTGCGCGCCGTTGGCCATCCTGCCCTCAAGTCCCTGCACTAAGACATGATCAAGTTCATCGCGGGGAGGACTGATCTGATCAGGACTCTTTGCGCTGAAGTGGAGAACCTTTCTAGCACGCTCAATGCCTTCGCGGAACTGGACGACTTCATGGAGGAAAACAAGCCTCCAACTGCCTGTCACAGCACCCAAACCAGCCCAGCTCCTTCCTGCAAGGACTCCTGCTCCCAGACTGACCCAGTCAAGCCCGCCACCCCTGTTCCTGCTGCTCTCCCAACTAAAAAGCCTGCCCCCACGCTGCCTGCTCCTACAAAGAGGAAGCAGCCTGAGGCTCCCAACCCACCTGAAAAGAGGACAAACCTGCAAGGTCCTGCCAAACCTGTGACACCCCGCGCTTCCAAGCCGCCGGCCGCCCGAATGACCCTCCACGGAGAGAAATCGGCGGCCCACACAGTGGTTATTTCTGATAACCCTCAGGCCGACCCCAGGGAGATGCTAAAAGCTGTCCGCGCTGCCCACACTCTCCCCCAAGGCGTCTGGGCTTCCCTGCGCACCAAGGGGAAGCTTGTCCTCCACTCCACCAACCCCGATACCATCCCAGCTCTTACTACCTCCCTGGCCAACAAGCTGGATGGTATGAAGGTCCGCCAACAGAAGGAGATCCTGCCTTGCATCTGCCTCTTCAAAGTGGATGAGGAGACATCCAACTCCACCATTGAGGAGACGCTCCTGGAAACCCCTGCAGTCAACCAACTTACTGGGGACAAGGTGGTGCGCGTGGCGCACCGTTCTGCACCCAGAAACGGGACCTGCACCGCCTTCATCGAGGTGGACATCAAGACCTTCAGAGCCCTGGGCATTCGCGGAAGGATCGTGGTGGATGGAGTAATCCTCAACTTCGAGGAGTCCATCCGCGCCCGAGTCTGCTTCCGCTGTTTTGGCTTCGGCCACAACTCTGCCCAATGCACCAGAGCTCCTAAGTGCTTCCACTGCGGTGAAGACGGCCATGAAGGCCACGCGCCTGCCCCTCCATTGCCAACCAGCGCACTTCCAAGTGTGCCAACTGCTGTGCCAAGGGCCTCCCAGACTAGCACGAGGCGAGAGCCTCAAGCTGCCCCATCTTGAAGTCTAGAGCCCTCAAGTTCTAGGCTTCCAGGACCTCCTGCCTCCTCAAATGGACTCCATCCCTGCTTCTCACTGCATCAAGGCGCTGTTTCCCTGACCTCTCCAGCTTCCTCCACCCCTGCGATGACACCTCCACTGCCAGATCTTAGGATGCCTTGCCACCAGTTCGCGTTCTGCAGCCATGTTGGGGCTAGAATACCTTATTTGATAGGCCAATTAGTCCGGAATCTTAAGAAACTCACAGATTATTCCGTGACAATATTTGCCAGACGAATATTACTTTAACATATAGTATTGGTTTAATTCTATTAGAATTTTAATAGCCTTCAATATTTTAAGCTGCAACTTCATCTATACACCTACTTGTTAAATTCATAACATTTTGATCAGAAGTTTTAATGTAAAAGAGTGAAGTTTTCCTTTTAATCTTTCTTATTTTTATATGTTGCTCGAGTGAATGTTCCTCAGAAAGAAAGAGTCGGTGGACGAGTGGGTAACACCCTCGATTTCCGACAGACATGAACCGGGATCGAATCCCTCATTATACACTTTGTTTTAACCTTCACTTATTATTCATTGTTGAAATATCATAAACTAGGTTGCTCTTTTTGAGCGGTACCTAATAAAGTTATTTTGGAACAAGGCATGGCCGCAGAAAGAACCTTTTTGATGTACCCATTACACATTATGCATCAATTATATTATTAACTAGCGGACGTACCCGGCTTCGCCCGGGTTTTACCCGAGTAAAGGTTTGTCTAACGAATCTCTCGATAAAGAGAACATTTTTTACCGGTCCCTTGAAAAATACTGGATAGGTTGAATAAAATCAATATTAATTGGTTCCCTCGGTGATGGGAAGTTAAAGGAATAGTATCGTGCCTTGGAATTGTATCATTATTCTTGTCTCAAATAAATTGCCGTGTCATCCTGAATTTTGTCTTTCCTAATTTTCTACATTACAGAATCATCGTATCATCATGATAATATTTAGAGCAGATTGTTGAATTATAACAGATAAATTAGAATATTTATCTTGATTATTTTTAGGCGAAAATTTATTTAATTTTTTTTATTTGCTAGAACCCTTCCCAGTACTATACTAAATAACTTCCCAAAGTTTCATGGCGTTCCAATGAGTGGTTTGGTCAGGCATAAAGGACAGACAGACACACATACATTCATTTATATATATATTATATTATTAATTATAAATATAAAATATATAATTATAATAAATCGTAATTTAATAGTTCAGTTTCGGTTTGCGTTAAACTGGCATTTTTTAATCATTCTAAATAGTGTTTCATTACACTTTATTCATTTTAACATTCTAATATATATATATATATATATATATATATATATATATATATATATATATATCATTTAGAGGAAGAGATCTTGGATCAAAGCTATTTTTCCTCCCAATAATCCGAGGTGGTCAGCTGTGGGTAGAATTCCAAGTGTTTGTAGCGGATGTTCCTAGCAGAGGCAACAACGTCGAAATACTGGAAGATATCAATAAATAAGTTTGATCCAAGATAAGCCTTTATAATTAATGAATCTGACACGGATTTCTTCATCCTTCGATAGATAGATAATTATAAAGTATATAGAGTTCCTAGAAACGACCAATTGTTGCCATTGCCGGCCCAGCGCCCGCCGGGGAAGCCTCTATGAACTTCGGGTCTGACACCTCTTGGTGAAAACTTGTTCTGTCACGACAACTGGCCATAGGTATTCCACCTAGGCCATGGTTTAGCGATGACGATTTGACTATGGGTCATTTTTTAGCTGAGTTGGCGATTGGTCTCAGGCATATCTAATGTTGGTTGTCTTGGCAGGACTCATGACGTCAGGGGTTGATCAGATCGCCAGTGGTAAAATGGCTTCCCCAAATTTTAAATAAAAAATAGAACTCTATGATAATTTTTAAGTACACGTTGTGAGTGGTGAAGTGGTGTGTATTGTGAGTGGTATAGTGGTGTGTAATTGTGAAATTGTATGTGTATAGAGAGCCTGATGTATGTATTGAGAATGTAGAAGAGGCTAGATGTCGAAAAGAGGGAGTTTATTATAAAACAACAATAATAATTCTGATATAAAAATAAAGTAACAGTAAGTAAGTAACAAGTGATTACATTTTCCACAACACTATGAGCTAAATCCATTACACGAGAGAGAGACGTGCCGAGAGTGCAGTTAAACTCTAGAAATCAAACACCGTCCAAATATTTGATTCCTAGTTGCTGAGAGAACCAACATCTCAGTTCACCAGTCTGGAAACCCTATATGATGATATGTCAAGGAAGGCACAAGGTACAGAATGGTTTGATTGGGCCAAACGATACTATTCACCATTGAGGAGGAGATACTGCAAGAAACCATCCATTCAGAGGTTCACCAAATTACCGTATATGACTCAATACGAACTGTTGTCTTGGCAGACACCTAGGACGTCCTGCATCATCTCAGGTCCGTACAACAAGCCAGTAGAAAATCGTTCAGCGAGACACAACTTCAGAGATTCGCAACAGATATTAAGAATTGCTTGGAATGCATAATGATTGGTGACTTAACATGGTACGTCCCAAAAGGAACAATATTTATCTCTATTTGCAGCTTTGATAAGGAGCGGACCGGGGTTTCACAGGTATGCGAGGAGAATCACCAGACAAGTACACTAAGAACGCTTTAAGCGTCTCCACTCGATCACCACTCCTCGCATCCCGTTTCAAGCCTCTTTTATGTACAAACATGGCCACATTTGTCCAATGAGAAGGAGATCAGTTTACTTAACAAATGAACAATATTCTTTCCGCATAACTGAGAAGACTAAAACTGCTTATGCAAAGCATTTTGTATATTTTGGAAATGATGAGAGAGATAATCTTTGAATAATGACACTATATGACCTAGGTTTTCCCGGCTTATTCCCAAATGAATATTGTTGCATTGTCCTGGGTGGTTGGCTTCATGTCAATATTCGATTGTTCTACATCAACATTATAATTGAGACCAGAACATAGAGTAGTCATAAAACAAATTTATTTTAATAAGGAAAGTATTTACAATTATTTTCAATCTTAAAAAAAAAAAAAAAAAAAAAAAAAAACAGAGAGGAACGGAAATATCTTCATTTACGGGGCTGTGTGTGCTAATCAAAATAAAATTATTTTTGAGCCCCAATGGCCGCGTAAAGCGGAATAAATGTAAAGCACTATGAACAGACTGGGGAGACTAGGGAAAAAAAAACTCCCTGGCGGGGAATCGAACCCCGGTCGCCCGTGTGACAGGCGGGAATACTAACCACTGTACTACCGAGGAAAAAACTGAGAGATATCTAAACAAAATATTTACAAATAAATTGCTGATGTCACGTGACTAATGATGATAAACTGAGTATGTCACCACAGATTATTCTGTGACAATATTTGCCAGACGAAGGTTACTTTAACATATGGTATTGGTTTAATTCTATTAGGATTTTAATAGCCTTCAATATTTTAATCTGCAACTTCATTTATACCTCTACTTGTTAAACTCATAACATTTTGTTTAAAAGTTTTGATGTAAAAGAGTGATGGTTCCCTTTTAATCTTTCTTATTTTTATATGTTGCTCGAGTGAATGTTCCGCAGAAAGAAAGAGTCGGTGGACGAGTGGGTAACACCCTCGATTTCCGACAGACATGAACCGGGATCGAATCCCGTATTGAACACTTTGTTTTAATATGTGAATATCCTTCACATATTATTCATTGTTGCAAATATCATAAACTAGGTTGCTCTCTTTTTCAGCGGTACCTAATAAAGTGATTATGGAACAAGACATGGCCGCAGAAAGAACCTTGTTGATGTACCCATTAAACATTATATATCAATTATATTATTAATTTTAAATATAAAATATATAATTATAATAAATCGTAATTCAATAGTTCAGTTTCAGCTTGCGTTAAACTGGCATTATATTAACAAGTCAGTTTTTTAATCATTCTAAATAGTGTTTCATTACACTTTATCCTTTTTAACATTCTTATATATATATATATATATCATCAGAGGAAGAGATCTTGGATCAAAGCTATTTATCCTCCCAATAATCTGAGGCGGTCAGCTGTGGGTAGAATTCCAAGTGTTTGTAGCGGATGTTCCTAGCAGAGGCAACAACGTCGAAATACTGGAAGTTATCAATAAATAAGTTTGATCCAAGATAAGCCTTCATAATTAATGTATCTGACACGGATTTCTTCATCCTTCGATAGATAGAGAATTATAAAGTCTATAGAGTTCCTAGAAACGACCAATTGTTGCCATTGCCGGGCCAGCGCCCGCCGGGGAAGCCTCTATGAACTTCGGGTCTGACACCTCCTGGTGACAACTTGTTCTGTCACGACAACTGGCCATAGGTATTCCACCTAGGCCATGGTTTAGCGATGACGATTTGACTATAGGTCATTTTTTAGCTGAGCTGGCGATTGGTCTTAGACATATCTAATGTTGGTTGTCTTGGCAGGACTCATGACGTCAGGGGTTGATCAGATCGCCAGAGGTAAAATGGCTTCCCCAAATTTTAAATAAAAAATAGAACTCTATGATAATTTTTAAGTAAACGTTGTGAGTGGTGAAGTGGTGTGTATTGTGAGTGGTATATTGGTGTGTAATTGTGAAATTGTATGTGTATAGAGAGCCTGATGTATGTATTGAGAATGTAGAAGAGGTTAGATATCGAAAAGAGGGAGTTTATTATAAAACAACAACAATAATTCTGATATAAAAATAAAGTAACAGTGAGTAAGTAACAAGTGATTACATTTTCCACAACACTATAGGCTAAATCCATTACACGAGAGAGACACGTGCCGAGTGCAGTTAAACTTAAGAAATCAAACATCGTCCAAATATACGATTCCTAGTTGCTGAGAGAACCAACATCTCAGTTCACCAGTCTGGAAACCCTATATGATGATAGGAAGGCACAAGGTACAGAATGGTTTGATTGGGCCAAACGATACTATTCACCATTGAGGAGGAGATACTGCAAGAAACCATCCATCCGGAGGTTCATCAAATTACCGTATATGACTCAATACGAAATGTTGTCTTGGCAGACACCTAGGACGTCCTGCATCATCTCTGGTCCGTACAACAAGCCAGTAAAAAATCGTTCAGCGAGACACAACTTCAGAGATTCGCAACAGGTATTAAGAATTGCTTGGAACGTATAATGATTGGTGACTTAACATGGTACGTCTCAGAAATGACAAAACAAGCAATGCCTCGGCTGTAGGAAATATCACTTCTTTTTATCTGGTTTGAAAGATATTTTTCTGATGCGTTCGTCAATTAGGAGCAATTCATCGCACATCTTTTTTTTTTTTTTTTTTTTGCCTTCCGTGGAACCACCATCAATGTCGCGATGTACATCTTCATCATCTCCGTGTGGGACTAAAGAACCTAGGTGTTTGTCACGGAAGGTCTGTCTTCTACCTGATAACGCATGTAATCATAACGCTGAGAGCCCCAAAGCGGATTGAAATGGGAATTCTGGAGACACTACCTCCATACAGTACAGAACTCTCTCCAATAGATCTTCCTTACATGTGTTCGGATCTTTTAAGAAAGTGCTAGAAAAGACGACTTTTTGTATTAGAAGTTTAGGTTAAATCAGTAAAGAATCTTGGAGATTTTTATTAGAAGGTGTTACGATGAATCAGTGGAAGCAATGACCGCTCACATGAACATTTTAAATGGCAGAGCGCCATCTAGTAAAACAAAACTCAACTAAACGTTGGTTTAGGCCTGTTCCATGATATTTGTCTAACACTATTTCTTGATAAATAAAAATTGGGTGAGCTAAATATCATGGAAAAATTCTGTTTAATTTGTTCCACTAGATGGCGCTTTGCCATCTAAAATATTCATGTGAGCGGTCAGTGGTAATCATCGAAACACAAGAGCAAATATAAAAACGTGGGTACACGAATTTTTCCTTTATTTTTGTGTTACATATTCAAAATATAATTTTATTATTACTATTTAATCTTTTTTATATTATACACTAGCCGAATGGCCCGGGCAACGCCCGGGTTTTACCCGATTAAATGCTTTTATTTAAATACTATTCGTTACAATTATAAATTGGCGCCGTGGATGTCATTCTTGTATAATATATAAATGAGTTTTAAAATTGTAAAAAAAAGAAATGCATCGGCCGGGAATCGAACCCGGGCCGCCCGCGTGGCAGGCAAGCATTCTACCACTGAACCACCGATGGTTATGAGAAATGGCCATATTTGGGTATTTATTCCATTCACAAAAGCAAACGGTGACAGAATTGATTATTAAGAATTGTTGCTTGATGACTCTGATAACTGTATATATTAATAATATATTTTTCTTTTTTAATTTGGGAATATCATGTAATATAGTTTTTAATATTTGTATTATAAGGAGATAAAAAAACACTTGGATCTTATTTTACTGTAATGGTAAACTTTAGTGATGTAAAATAACCTTTCGATTCTCTATTACATCAACACTATTTTGTACGATGTTCAAATAAAATTATTTATTCTTCAGAAAATTTGATTATTCTCGAAATTCTCGTAGAATGTGCGATTGGATATTGTTACAGTAAAATATAAAAAAGTTACTAAGCTAAAGTTAAATTCTATATTAAACAAATAACATGTGTGACCAAAATTCATTGGGGGAAAAAGAATAAGAAACTCCGGGGGATAAAGGATGGCTGAACAAAAGATCGAGCAGTGGAGTATGAAAACAAATTGACTCCAGAGATGACAAACACTCCCCTTTAATAAAAATGGGGAATGAAGTCACGAAATTAAAAAAAAAGGAAAAGAAAAGGTAGTCACCACGTCGGGAAGCGAACTTCCGACCCAGTGGGTCTATTTTCCGCTCTGGTCTCCCTCAGCTATGTGTTTATAGCAGGGACGTTTTTATCCGTTGTTCTCCTACCTTGTCCCTGGTTTGTCGCATGTAGTGTCCCGGTTTGTTGTTGGTTTGTCGTATGTAGTGTCCTGGTTTGACACATGTATTTTCTTGGTTTGTCTTTCCTTTGTAGCATGTAGTTTTTGTTTTGTCGCATGTAATTTCCTGGTTTGTAGCATGTAGTGTCCCGGTTTTTCGCATGTAGTTTCCTGGTTTGTCTTTGGTTTGTCGCATGTATTTTCCTGGTTTTTGTTCGTTTGTCGCATTTAGCTTCCTTTTTTGTCTTTGGTTTGTCGCATGTAGTTTCCTTTTTTGTCTTTGCTTTGTCGCATGTATTTTCCTGGTTTGTCTTTGGTTTATCGTTCGTTTGTCGCATGTAGCTTCCTGGTTTGTCTGTGGTTTGTCGCATGCATTTTCCTGGTTTGTCTTTGGTTTGTCGCATGTAGTTTCCTGGTTTGTCTTTGGTTTGTCTCATGTAGTTTCCTGGTTTGTCTTTGGTTTATCGTTCGTTTGTCGCAAGTAGTTTCTTGGTTTGTCGCATGTAGTTTCCTGTTTGTCGCATGTAGTTTCTTGGTTTGTCGCACGTAGTTTCCTGGTTTGTTTTTGGTTTGTCGCATGTAGTTTCCTGGTCTGTCTTTGGTTTGTCGCATGTAGTTTCCTGGTTTGTCTTTGGTTTGTCGCATGTAGTTTCCTGGTTTGTCTCATGTAGTTTCCTGGTTTGTCGCATGTAGTTTTCTGGTTTGTCTTTGGTTTATCGTTCGGTTGTCGCATGTAGTTTCTTGGTTTGTCGCATGTAGTTTCCTGGTTTTTCTTTGGTTTGTCTCATGTAGTTTCCTGGTTTGTCTTTGGTTTATCGTTCTTTTGTCGCATGTAGTTTCTTGGTTTGTCGCATGTAGTTTCCTGGCTTGTCATTGGTTTGTCGTATGTAGTTTCCTGGTTTGTCTTTGGTTTATCGTTCGTTTGTCGCATGTAGTTTCATGGTTTGTCGCATGTAGTTTCATGGTTTGTCGCATGTAGTTTCCTAGTTTGTCTTTGGTTTGTCGCATGTAGTTTCCTGGTTTGTCTTTGGTTTGTCGCATGTAGTTTCCTGGTTTGTTTTTGGTTTATCGTTCGTTTGTCGCATGTATTTTCTTGGTTTGTCGCATGTAGTTTCCTGGTTTGCCTCGTATTTAATTTCCTGGCTTGTCTTTGGTTTGTTGTATGTAGTTTCCTGGTTTGTCTTTGGTCAATATCTGGATTTAGTTTATTTTGAATTGGTTTCTGGTTTAAGGTATGTTGTTTCCTGATTTGCCCTTGGTTTTTCTTGAACTGGTTCTATTTAGTCCTTGGTTTGTCGTGAATAGTTTCCTGATTTGTCGAGGGTTAATATATG